TCGGGCATCTGTTTCGGATGCCTCCTGGGCGCCTTCCTAAGGAGGTGTTCCGGGCATGTCCCACCGGGAGGAGGCCCTGGGGAAGACCCAGGACACGCATCTTTGCTTAAACTGCTGCCCCCGTGACCCGGTCCCGGATAAGCGGAGGAAAATGGATGGATGGATGGACTTAATTTTTTGCCTAATTTTGGGGAATATTTATTTCAATAACTTCACTCTTAAAATGTAGAGTAACCACAGTCACTTCACACAACAAAGGTATGTTGTTGGTTATACTACAACACTTAATTTGGGGGAAAACAAATAAACAGCTTTTTAATTTTGGGGAATTTTATTGCAAAAAGTATTCATTAACTTCACTCCTACACAGAGTCAGTAGCATCACTGAAACACACGTGAGCCAGTACTATCAAACTATCAAATTCAGTTTAGCTGGTCTTGGTCTTGACTTGGTCTGAGTTTAGGTGCTCTTGACTACAATACTAATGATGATGATGGTGGAGAGTGTTGTCTGAAATGCAGTAGGTTTTCTGTTGGGTTAAGATCTATACTAGTGGTAAAAAGTACTGGTAACTACCTATGTAAAATACTTGTACTTGAGTATACTGTATTCAGCTTATTTCATTTTATACTCCTTCAGTATATTTCAGAAGGAAATATAGCATTTATTTGACAATTACACTCAGGTGGCAGCTTATTAGGTACACCTGCTAAAACTAAGCCAGTCTAATTCAAAAGGCCTGCAGTAAATCCTTGTCATAGTGTCTCCCATTGTGAAAAACTAAAATGAACATCATTCTACTAAAAGATATTCCTTAGTTTGGTATTTGGAACATATACTGTACAGTAAATGCTCAGCTGGGCTAAGATGTGTTGACCAGTGGTGGAAACAATAAGTGTTTTTGTTTCATTTAATGCCATTTCAAATGGAACTCTGGAACCTGTATTATTAGAGTACACTTGTGTGACCATAGCCTTCAAATTATATAATATAACATAAAAATATAGTTAAAAATCTGTACTGAAAACAAAATTTCCCTCTTGTAGGAATTGTGTTGTAAATCATTGTGATCCACATAAATAGTACAAAAATAATTAGTGCTTTTGTATTATACTTAGATGAACTGAAGGTTTATGAGTACTGGTTGCTTTAAGAATAAAACGACAAATGATGGTGTCTTAGGATTCTCAGTATCTGGAGGTCAGCATTGGCTCGTCATTTTACTTCACTAGCTGTAACTAATAAGGTTTAGTGCTCATTATGATTACAGTGACATACATATTAAGTCTATGAATGTGAATGCTTTCCTCTGTGTGTGTGTGCACTGTTGACTCCTGCATGCTAGTTTTGAACCTTAATAAGCCCCTGCCTCTGTTCCCTGGATGTGAAGGCAAGGAGAGAGAAAATGGCTTTCTTACACTTCAGTTTTATGCATATTTTCTTTGAGGCTAATGAGAGCCTTAAATATGGTGCCAGACTTCAGGCTGAACTGTTGAAGGCTGACATTTTCACACACAGTGGCACCTTGTCACTGTGGATGAAGTCCTTCTACCTGGCTGTTGAGAGGTGCATGTGTGTGTGTGCATTTATGTGTGTATATGTGAAGAAAATAAGAGAATATGGTATACTGGTCTGTAAAATTCAGAGATATTTGTGTTGTGTGTAGTTGTGTGTGCTTGCCTGTGCATGGATGTGTTTTTTTTTCAGTATGGTATATTAATTGGCAGAATGAGTAAAAAAATGAATTTTTGGAACACACACCACTGCCTAATTTTACTCTTTTTGTTTGCTCTGTATATGTTTGTATGACTAGATTTGCATGTGCCTATGATATTCAGTATGTGCTAGTTCTTCATATGCTCATTCACTTACCTGTACTGAATACACTCATTCTGTTCCTCTAGACTTTAACTCTTCATTCTTTCTGCTTTATCTATATGATGGTATTGTGCAGCACATAACATCAACGGATATAATTTCCATTTAATCGCAGCTTCGGAACAGGAAAAAGTATTAAAAAATAAACACTTGAAAGGACTTGCTCATCTTGCAATGTTGTCATCTCCCATGAAACCTAAAAAAGTATGTCTGTCAGGTTCCTTACCTCTTGGAGAGTAGTCACAAAATGGACGTCAAAGGTAATTATAGAGCTGGAGAAACATTGTGTTTGTGTCTATATGCATTTATATTTCCATATGCCCTGTTGAAAGAGAAAGAAGGGGAGTATGGAGCTCAGTTGCTGTCTGGTTGTTTTGATTGCAAAGTGAGAATGATGAACTGGAATATCTTATTACTGTGTGACTAACAGAAGTCTGTACAAGTATGTATGTACAGTATGTTTTGATTTTCAGAACACTGTTTCCATGACGCGACCCGGTCCCGGATAAGCGGAGGAAAATGGATGGATGGATGTTTCCATGACTTTTGCACACATTCAGGAGCAGGATTTTGAAAGCAAGTTCAAGGAGTTTTTTTTAACCCTATAAATGACAGCTTTTGTTTTAAAGATAAAACAAAAGATTAAAGATTGTCATTTGAGTGTATACTGTTTTTAAGGTGTTATACTGCAGGCTGGGTCTTACTGTACATACTGTATGTGACTGCCTTAGTCTTAAAAAACAGAAAAGGCTACTGGAAAGCCCAGCAAAGATGGCATCTGTTTGCATGTCTGAATATATGTGTGTGTGTGTGTGTGTGTGAGCGCGCGCGCGCGCGCGCGTGTGCGTTTGTCTCCCACACGGCCAGCTGCTGCCACTCACTGTAAACTAGTCTGTAGCTCGTCACAGACAGACGTTGACACACTCCCAGTCTAATGTGCTCATTAGAGACTGCACAGCACACACATAATTGATAGCCATGACACACATGATGCACACACACAGCTACACACCCATACACACACACTCACATTATTGCAAAAAACAGTTTCCTTTTTTTAATGCTGCAGTAGAAAACAAGTTTATACTGTATGAAGTCATATAATGGGGGTTCATTGTCAAGAACAACAACAACAGAAAATGAAAGAATGAAATGAAAAAGACTAAGCACAGAATGCATAACAGTGTCTGTGCTGTTTACATGCCAATATTTTACACATAAGGATTTTTTTTATTATTTCTCTACACTGGCAGCTGTCAGTTACTTTAGCAAATTAACTGTCAAAAATGTAGCAGAACTTGTCACTCAAGAGGTTAGTGTAACCATGGTTACCTTTCATATCCCAAAAAGATAAAGCTGCAGTCTCCAATCATGACAGAGTAATTAGACAGAACAAAAAAATATAATAAAATAAAATATGACTAATCAAACAGGCATTCAACGATATGAAACAACCAAGAGTGCTTATAAATAACAGTTTACAAGTGAAATATTTTCATAAAGCAACATCTTTTTTGTACAACCTTTAATATCTTTTTAGTGTTCATACAGTGGCACACGAGCAGTGTCTGGTAAAAAGTGTCTTTAACCCTTTGAGCACGAGTTGGGAATAAAAATTTCTGTCATTTGCTGTAATTTTTTTTTACCTCCCTTTTTGTATTGTTTGATTAAATAACACATTTATAAAACTATTGTGCAAAACAATTTTATTTGTCTTCATATAGTGTGCACCAGCAGATAGTCATAACCCTTTTAAATTAAAAAATATAGAAATGATGCATAATTTAGACAGAAATTAGTTAATATGTTTTTATTATATACAAAGTTTACACAGACCTGAATTACCCTGGTCCCTGATCGACCAAAGTAAAAGACTTTTCTTTTTTCTTTTTATTTTTTTTTTGATTTCTTTTTTTTTTACCATATAGCTACAATACTTGTGTCAAGTTCTGTGTGCATCTTCCAGACAGATATTAAGCCCAAGATGAACACCTTGCACTGAATACAGAATCTCCTTATATAAACACTTAATCTATTGTATGTCTGGGAAATATGCATTGCAGATGCAGTACAATGCACCCATTGTCCATCTTATAGTCACAACAGCTTCAGTAATTCTCTAATCTTTAGTCAATAGTGTTTGGACCTTAGATATAGAAGTGCTTTGACGTACTCAGAGGGTTAAATTTTAAATGCTGGCTACAGCAGAACTATGTTATAGATAAAAAAGAAAAGGAAAAAAGGAAGATAGTGGAAGCAGAAGAGAAAAAAGAAACAAAAAACATGGAAAGTGCACCAGATTTAGTTATAAAATGTTTAACTAAACAGTTTTATTTATGCATGCAGGTTGTCACGCCCCAGTGATGCTGAAATATAAAGGAACAGAATTCCATTTACACACATTTCAAAATACACATCATTTTAGAAATTTTTTTAAACCTTCATATTCTGTATCTTCTCAGTGACAACAGCCCCCATCAACACATTTTGAAAACAGTCAGTTCCTGTAGTTACTATTCCTGTCAAAGGAGATCACCACAATTGAATGTCTTGGGTCAGAGTATGTCTTGCACAGAAAAACAAAATGCAACAAAACAAAACCATCAAAAACAAAAACTTCCTCAAAACAAAATTTAAAACCATGTGCCAAAACTCACAGCAGTAGTTTTATGGCCTCTTTGTGCAGTTCCATCACATTAATAATCCTTTCTTTTCTTGAAATAAATGTCTGTGACAGAGAGACAAAACAAGCAAGAGTGAGCCATTATGAAAGAGTGCAGCAATGTCCCCAGCCAATGCTACTGTTTTTCAAGCTCACACACATACATGAGGTGGTCCTCAGGGGACTTCCCATGAGTCTTGCTCAGATGAAGCTTGACTGCATGCTTGCTTGCAAAAGTCCGGTTGCAAAGCTTGCACTGGTACATGGCCCCACTATCATCGTCATCAAGGGAGGGTGATGGGGATTCAGCTGAGGGCAGAGAGGTGGTTAAGGGTGAGGACAGGGAGAGGGGTAAGGCAGAGGGTAGGGATGTGGGTAGAGAGGAGGGTAAAGGGTGGCTGGATGAGTGAAAATTAGAGAGCAGTTTTTCAGATAGTCCTTTGGTGTGGCGTTGTTGATGGTGTTGCTGCGATATCTGACTGAGAAGCTGTTCCCCTGAAAGTTTGGCCAGGTCTCGCAGACGGAAGCCCAAATGGGATTCCAAGTGGCTGACGTAGGTGGATGGTGAGCGGATCTGAGAGGCGCAGTCACTGCAGAAAAACACTGGGTGACCCGAATCCAAGTTCTTCAAGAACTTGGTGCCACCAGTTCTCCTCAGCTGGTACTTGACATTAGCCAGCCAATGGGATATTGTAGTCATTGAGAGGCCAGTGAAACGGGAGATGTGCATTCTCTCTTGTGGGCTCAGGTCTGACATCATGTATTTACCATCGCTTGTTTGTCTAAGACTGGAAGCAAACTGGGCTTGCAGGATGAGGAGGTGTTGAGGGTTCCAGTTTGACTGGCGGCCTTTACGTTTCTGGGCTGGTGAAGCATCTTCTGTCTCCTCCTGTGTGACACCTTCAATGTCAGAACGCTCCGACTGGCTGGTAGGTGTGGAGGACTTGGAGACAGCCTGACTTTCTGTCAGGTTCCTCAGCATGTCAGAGATGTCTGAAAGGGCATTTTCTCTCAAAGGGGAGGTGGACATAAAGGAAGCCACTGCAGCCGAGGCTTTGGTCATAGTGACAGTGGAGGGGGGAGAAACTGAGGATGGGGTGGAAGTGGTGGAGGAGAGAGCTGTTGAACCCAAAGAACCGTTATTGCTGTTTTTGTCAGAATTTTTGCCTTTGGTAAGATCTATTGGTTGGTCATTATTTAGATGCTGCTGGTAAAAGTAACGGTCTAGGTGGTCATTACTGGGCTTTTTGGTTTGTGCTGGTGGGGTTGAAGCAGCCACAGCTGCCTTCTCTGCCAGACTGTTGCTCATCTTGAACAGCATGCTCATGGGGTCAAGGGATGGCAGGGCAGGCTTAGCAGCCTTCCCCAGGTGGACGTTCATTACTGACTGCAGTGCACTGAGAGGGTTGACAAATGGCTGTTCTGGAGGTGGATGGTCAGTAATGATAGCTGTACTGCCACACAGTGAGGCAGGCAGGGGGGGTGTCACAGCAGATGATTTGACTCCATTCTCCACAGACTCCTTTATGGAAATATCTCCATTTGAATCTCTGTGATTGAATCCATTTCCATCCACTACTGCTTTTTCTACTCCAGTTGTATTCTCAGGGGTGTTACAACCTCCTGCTCCATTGTCTTTGGGGGACTCTCCTTGGGTCAAGTCCCCTGCCTCACTGTTGCAGGGTGAAGGCGTGGTACATCTCATAGGCGATCCCCTCACAGCACCAGTGGGCTCTCTCATTTTCTCCTCAACCTTGGCCACTTTTTCTGTTACTTTCTTCACCAGCTCCTCCATAGCATGGAAATTGTTTTTTGGCAGTGGAGATGTCTGGCGGCTGGGAGGGGAGATCAGAAGCTGGCTCTTACCAGTGGGAGAGAGGATCTCCCCTCCAGGGAACATGTATTTAAGGGGTGAGCTCTTCCCAGAGTTGCCTAGAGAAAGCTTCATTATATTTGGGAGCTGGTAGGCAGCATGAATGCTGGGGTATCCACCCCAGCTTGGAGCTCCATTTTGGGCTTTGTTGATGGCTGAGGTCACTGTGTTCTCCAAGGACTTGAGGATATCAATACCTCCTTTTGGACTTTCATCCAGATCCTCTTCAGTCAAATAAGTGTATTTTGAAGAAATATCAAATTTCTCCTCAGCCTCCTCTTCACCCCCTGCCCTCTTCTCTTTGTTGAGTTTGTTTCCACTACTGATGATGGTCTCTTTAGTGCATTCCTCCTCCTTCTCCTCCTTTTTTATCTCCACAGCCATAGCAGTGGGGGAGATGCTGGTTGGAGGAGGCACTGGGGCTGGTGGAGGGGAGAAGGTTGTGGCAGCCAGGGGAACAGACTGGACCTTTTCTTCAGCTGTTGAATTGGACATTGGGGCTGGGGTGGATGATTCTATAATGGGCTTGCCTTTCTTAATAGCAGAGTTGGTGACTTTAATAAAATGTCCTGTCACCATCATGTGAGCAGTTAGCTCTTGGAGTGTATCATGAGAGCTGCCACACTCCATGCATTTGAGGATCTGTGACTTCCTGGATTCAAACTGCCAGGCATAGCTGGCACCATTTTGGTGTCCATAACGGTTGTTAGGTGTGATGTAAGGGTTTGTAACCTTCTGCAGTATGTCATTAGAATCGCTGAAGGAGGTGGGCTTAGGTGTGGTGCCTCCATTGGAGTCAGGTGAACTAGGGATGTCTAGGTCAATGGGGGCTCTTTTTCGAGCCGTGGAGATAATCTTAGCTGCCACTGGTGTGACAGGCTCTTTCAGAGGCACTTTCTGGTAGTGTTTTGTCTTGATCATGTGGACACTTAGGTCCTGAAGGGATTCAAAGGAGTGCCCACAGTACATGCATTTCAGAACTTTCTGTGCATCCTCTTTCCCCTCCATCTCTAGCAAGGAACGCTTTCTGGGTTTAGACCACCGTTTAGCACCGTCACCATCTGTTTCATGGTTATCATCACGGTAATGGCCTGTCTCATTCATGTGCACAGTGAGCTCCACTAATGTGTCATAGGCCGCACTACAGTCCTTACAGCGGAATTTGCTGGCACCAGTGAAAATAGAGCCATAGAGCTTCGAGCTCTGTCGGTACAGCTGGACGGTACTAAAGAGGTTGGGTTCTGCAGATGCTGTGGATACAGCCACTGTGGGATGTTGAACCAGGCCCAGTCTGTTGTGGTGGTTCTGTGAAGCCTGCTGGAGGGTTTTAGCCATAGCTGTCTGGTGCCAATCATAGCCTCCGCTTCCACAGCTACTGCTGCTGCTACTACTGCTGCTGCTGCTGTGACTGCGAGGGGGTTTTTCTGCAGGGGGCTGGCTCAGGTTCAGATTCAGTGTAGACCAATACGAGTTGGTCAGGAAGGAGGTGTAAATGGCCTTCATTTTCTCCAGGCTGTCAGCCACAGACCCTGTTGTGGTTAACATGGCCTCATCTGCACTTATTGGGGCAATGGCATGGGCAGCAGCCATCATGGTAGAGGAGGAAGACAGTGTAGTTGAGGTGTCTTTAGAGAGGAGGACATCATCCTCGTTTTTAAGTGAGGAGCTCTCAAAATCAGACATTCTGTCACTGCATTCACTCAGGTGAGACTCACTGTCCAGCTCCTGACCAGAAAAGTCAGCGGCATTGGGGGAATCATGGAAGCCAGTGGATCCTGGTCTGTCCTTGAGAAGAAAGTCCTTGTCCTGACACAGGAACTTGGCAGCAGGTTCCTCCCCTTCCTGAGCTGAGTCGTCTCCATCGAGGTCCTCATCCAACAGGGCTGCTTCCTTCTCATCTTCAGGGACATATGCTGCTCAGGCATAAAAAAAAGAGAAAGAGAAATTTGTTAGGATCACACTGAGTATTTAATGGAGATTCTCAACTCTTTATTCCTGTTTGTTCATCAAGCAGGTAACTGATAGAAATACAAGATGCTTGCATTCACACTTTCTCCAGAGGAAACAGAAAGTAGTCCTCCAGTGATATTCACAGACAAAGTATTTCCTGTTGGAGTAATTCTGTTCTAACTTCCCCTTTTTACAGTGACATTGTTTTCAAATTGGAATCAAATCCCCACCTCCTCCCTTTCTCTCTTCACCCCCAGGTCTTTGTTCTGTATTGCAGAAAATCAGAGACGAGAGATGGAGGAGGGAAAGATTTTTTTTTGGGGAAAACGGCTCTTCAAACAGAACTTGCCACCTTATTCTTCTCAAGGGGCAACAGCTTGAAATTAAAACTAAATTTGAAATTAATGAAGCACATTCTGGCGGTGGCATTCGTTTCTGAAGTAATAAATTACTTGTATCAACCTTGGAGACAGCGGTTCCTGTCTGTCAATTAATATGTCTTACGCTTCTTCTGCAGACTCTAATGCATTCCCTAACAGACACACTCGCCATTTAAATTAAGCATGCATTTTCACTCATTACACTGCTCAGCCCTCGCCTCCTCGTAAATAAAAATGAATGTATGTACGTTTGCCTGCGACAAATCTCTCCCTACAAAACCCATTTGCTTCAATTACCAAAGATTAGAAAAAGTTTAGAGTTATTATTTACAGTTTAGCTTTGGAGGCTGGGCTTGAAGCTTTCAATTTATATTCAAATCCCTCTAGTTTAACAAAAGAAAATGTTCACAGATATACAAAGAGATGAGACTGATTTGTCTTGATACATCTTTTCTCTATGATTTCCATTGTATTATTCTTAATAAGTCTATCAAAGGATAAAACAACATCAGATGAGAAATGCTGCATGCTCATACTTTAAAGCTTGATTTCAGAAAAAAACTGAAGTACACAGGGTGTATGCATACATAAACCTCTTCCTTGTTTTAGCAACTACACTGGCAAAGATGTTGAGCCTGTGTGTGAATGTCAGTGGCCTTGTGCCTTGCATTCCTTCCTGTAACAGGCCATCACTCATCTAACCTGGTATGTAAACACCAAGTGAGCCAATCAGGTGTGTGTTTGTGTGTGAGTGTCACAGAAGCACCACATCTATGATAACAATGCTCTGTGAAATTCCTAATGAACAGCAGAAATTAAGTGCAAGGTTAACCAGGTTTTAAACAAAACCTAAATCGTGCTAATGAAAATAAAGGCTCAAAATTACAGGAAAATAAGACTTCCACAAGTAATACCACTACAACCTGCCAGCCATACAATACAACACACTTCAGCTTTTGCCAACTCCCATCTCTCACTGAAGACTGTAAGTTGTTGTGTGTGCATATGTGTGTATTTGTGTATGTGCCAGTACTGCAACAACAGCAACACATAGAGGAGTCTGTCATTGTCAGGCCACTGGTTGCCATCGGCAATGATACGACACCACCGTGGGATAAACAGATGCACAGAGGCACAGATATCCCAGAGCCCATCACACACACACACACACACACACACACACACACACACACACCCACACACACACCAGTTGTACTGTAACTGCTAACAACTATTTGCCTTCAGGCAATCTCAGGAGCTTCTCTGTGGAGCAAGCAGTCTGCTCCAGCATTGAGTGTAACAAAACGCATCTATTTGAAACACTTCAAACATGTTATCTGATAATAAATGTTTCTGTGTGCAATTTAACCTGGCCTCTACTCACACTGCTATTTCTTTTATTTTATTGAAGGAAAGCTATCTTAAGACCTTGATGATCCATTTCAGCTACATGTTGTAACATTTATGGATATAAAACATGTGCACACAATACACCCCCCCCCCCCACCACCCAACACCCAATTTTGCTTCTCTCTCTCTTCCTGTTTCTCTCTCCCCCACTCTGTGTCAGAGACACATTCACCCGCCCGCACATACGTGCAGCCAAGCAGACCCACATGTACATGCCATCTGTTCTGAATCAGCCAAAACGACAGCTGTTTAAGAGAACAATGCTCTGGCTGAGGAAACAGCCGAACGCAGCAACCCTGTACTCTCATCAAGGCCAAACATCAGTGTGAAATCTCCTTTAAAACACAACATACACTCTCTGCTTCAAATTAGCTGCCTTTGTGTGATAAGAACACAGCGTGTATTTGTATACCTGCAAGTGTGTGATATGTATAGAGACACATAAAGAGGATCAGGGAGAAAATGGTGTTTGTCATCAAGACCAGCATGTTCTGAATGAAACCTTGGTGTGTAGGCTGAATCCACCTACATGGACCATGATGCACATGACTAATTTCTAGACTTGTCTGAGGCAGTGAATGCCGAAATATGGAAACATTTTGACATTTACTAGTGGCATTGTTACAGTATATTTATACAATGGCCCCCACTGAATGGGCTGCAATGACACTTTAGTTTCAGCTGCCTGCATTGCTTTCTGACATCAAAAAATACACAAGTGTTGATTATAGTTTCAATAGTCTATATAATGTAATATAAATATATGTAATATATCAACATTTAAATATATATCATTTTGTGTGTGTGTGTATGTGAAAATGTAACTTGTCTAAGTTTGTCAGCATGTCACCATAAACCAAAAGCTTGCTGGCATTTGCATAGGAGATCTTGTGTTTTGTAAAGTATACTAGTGGTCCCCCAGCACCTATTGCCCTGCTCAAATAGCCCTCTGTCATCACAGTTTTCTAAATGTGTTCCAAGTAAATGATTTTAACATGATTTATTATGTCAAATTGATCATATTAAACATTTTTTTCCACATAAGACAGTAATACAGGCATTTTTTCATTTAAGTTTATATTCACACTGCCACTACTTGGGGTGACAGAAGATGGATCTTTCAACAATCTGTCCATTAGTTCTAGCTTTTTATCTGACCTCTCTGCTAGCTTGATAATTAGTTTTCACAAAATCTTATAGTATGTGCAGTGTACTCACTTTGTTTTAGCTGGTACTTTATTTGTTACTCTATCAATAAATATACTTAAAATCAACCCCACACCAATGTATAATTGTATTTGTGCTTATTTAATCACTAATCACTAACATTTACTTATTTAAATCAAAATTACAATTGTCCCCAAATTGGCTGGGTATGATAAAAACTTGGCCCAAAAAAAGTTTTATTCTGTTTATCTTCGAGGAGCATAAGATGGGGGAGAGAGTCACACTGCACTTTTATTATTATTGTTATTTCGGTTGTAGCTGATGCAAAGAGATAAGATATGAATAAATGTGTTAGAAGGAGAAGAGGCTGATAGGAGGAATAGGGTGAGGAGGCGGAGGAAGAGGAGGTGGAGGAAGGAGGTGGAAGGAGAAAGGCAGGTTTTGGAAAGAAGTCAAGACTGGGGGCACACACACACACACACACAGACAGACAATCCCCAAAGCCACTGACTTAGGTCCAGGCTGCAAGGTTCACAACACTATGACCCCGGATCCTAAGATAAATTTGAAGACACACATGCACACACTCACACAAAACCACTGGAGTGGAAGAAACCTGGGCCAAACACATCAGGTATGCAGGTGCTCTTTAATTAGTAGAAAGAGCAAGTGAGAGAGGGAGGTAGAGAGAGCTCCAGATGAACTGTCAGCAGGGTGGAAGACGTGGTTTGATCTCATTTTCAAGAGAACGATTTGGGAGAGACTGCCAATTTTGAAACCTAGGCAAGCAGGCAAACACGACAGTTGTTTCTTTGAGTGGCAGAAGGGCTTGGAAATTATTCTTGACATCTGAGCAAATCCCTGCTATAATAGCAAATAATTCTACTAATTAACAGTAAAATGGAAGTAGATGGAAATTTGGATTTATCATCATCAAAAATACTTCAAAAGATTATGAAGGAATGATTCTAAACTATGTCTGCATTCCTGTCTGTGCATAAAGTAAGGAAATGCATACGCACTCTGCAGATGTTATGATGTTAAAAAATTATTCATCATGTTTATATAACAACTTAACAACCCAATCAGACACACAGGCAGGTCAGTGCTGTTTGTTTACACTTCTGCTTATACCATGCAGTTTCAGTGTGTTATTTGTGTGTGTCTGAAAGAGAGACATAGAGACAGACTGTCCGCATCACTCTCATGTAGGGCAACACTGTTGTTAGACAAAGCTGAAAACATCTGTAGGCCTGAGGTAAAAGAAATTCCCATCTGAGTTGTCTCATATGTACCATACTGTGTGTGTGAGTGTTTGTACACATTTGTGTGTTACATGCACCCGCTCCCTGCCATTTCCCACTTGATGAGATTCTATAATCTCCACCCCGAACTCCCTCTCTTCCTTATTTCCATCCCTTCCCAATCACTAGTGCAACCCACGTTAATGAAGTTAATTGAATCTGAGATCAATAATGCTTAATTATTGTGATTTGACATGCACAGACAAATTGGTAGGTTGGCTCCTGTGTGTGTGGATGTGTGTGTGAGCGCAAGAGGAGTGGTTAAAGGGGCATGGCTGTCTACAGTGAGCACTGTGGGACTGGCGAGGCGTGGCATTGATCCCAAGAGGTGTTTGATCATCCTTATGCTTGATGAATGTACTGTAGCTGTACCTTCAACCAGCAAGATGACTTAGCAGACTTGTGACTTAATCTACAGTATCGTTGGAATATGAAGCACTAATTGCTTCTCTAGTGGCATATTATAGTTCTAGAAACACATCATCCAAAATTCACTACAGGAATCTATAATGTGCATATTGTAATCAAGTGTTATTTCAGTTCCTGTAGTTTTTAAAAATTTCTTATACATTTTAATGTTTGTATAATATTACTCAAGACATATGACATATGCTTTAAAATGTTTTTATCATATACAGTAGAGATTTCACCTTTGTTTTGGGGGTTTTTGGTATTCACTGTTTAAATTGGCAATAATCTCCC